ATCAGGAGACACTATATACTATTAGTAGCACATTACCATCTCTCTCTCTGCTTCTCTGGTCACCTTCCCTTCTGATGTGGACCTCAGACCCTCCTGTCTCCCTCTTATAAGGTCCTTCTATGACACTGGGCACCCCCTGGGTAATCCTGGATAATCCTCCCATTTTGAGAACTTTTTTTTATTGGGGAGGTTACATAATTTCTGTGTACAATTTTAAAAAGTTAAGTGAAGCAGAAAAAGTAGCTCTGCACATCAACCCTTTAGTACCCACCACCCAAATTAACTAACTGTCACTCATGGCTTAGGTAACACCTTTCCAGATCTTTCCTTGAGATGCTAGTTTTCAGACTCCATTTAAATAGACTAAATGTAACAAAGCTCTTATTTGTCTATTTACCACCTGCTTCTCCATATGGAAGCAAGACAGAGTGGAGGCTATAATAATTAGGTACCGGAGAGTTCCAAACCCCACAGGGCTTACTTTGTAGTCAGCCCCCCACCCTGGGCCCTGCCTCTTCAGCCACTGACTTCTCAGTTTTAAGAATCCTATTTAGTATCTCATTTGTCCTCAAACTCCTCAGCCTGTGGCCAAATTCAAGAGTAACGCTGAACCACCATTCAATCAGAGTACATTCTCTGCGTTCACACCAAAGTTCAAAGCAGAATGATTGGTGTCAAAACAATGTTTTCTCAACAGGCTGCTCAACACCTTCCAAAACGGATGCCCGCTTTGCAACCTAGCGCTTGAAATGAGGGTGACCCCAGGATCATCCTGGGCAAAATCAAGCTAAGCTGTTTGCAAATTATCTTCACAACCTTTGGATAAGCCAGGCTTAGCTCGTGAGGATGGATTCAACAGCGGTGTTAGACCAATTGCTGGTTCATCTTCAGAGTAATGATAAATAAACACAGAAACAACCAGCCATGCAGAAGAAAAGCCTGGCATCGAAACTCTAATCCCATTGCCCAATAATGAAGCAATCAACTCTCCAGCTCTTTCTGTTTAGCACTGAGGGTGAGGGTGGCCCAGCCGAGGAGGCACTGGGGAAGCTGGGTAGGGAGAGCCTCCAGGCCTGCTAGGGGTCACCTTCTCGCCACCCTAATCTCTGCCATATCCCATCTTGGGAAATCACACACAGCATTCAGGCTGGGAGTCTCGGGTGCTGGCCTGCATTTCAGTGTAGGCCTCAGAGTGATCATGATATGAACTGCAGGACTGAGCTGCTGTGAGGAGACACAAAAGGCTCCTAAAGGCTCCTCAAAACCAAGAGGTCGGTGACATCACTGAATGGTCTGGGTAAATGCCACATAGGACAACAAGAGCAAATCCCCTCGGACACTTCCTTGGGGACAAAGCCAGAGGTACCTTGCACATATGCCAGAGAGGCACTGAGAGTGACCACTGGGCTCCAACACTCAGCTGCCCCACAGAGAGCTGAGGAGGACGCTGTCCCCAGAAGCGTCCAGGCCCTCTAGAAACTGTCAGCACGAGGAGGAAGGTCCCTGCCAGGACAGAGCTGTCCCGTCCCCCCACACACACACTGCACAGACGGGGAACATGTATAACTCTGTACTCATGTGTAAATACATTTGTACACCTCTCAACTCTGTTATAGTTATATGTTAAAGTGTAAACACACAATATGCAGATATTAAAGAAAATATTTTCTGTATAATTCCCCCTGGGGCAGTAGAGAAGAAACATGAAGAGATTATGCGTGGAAGAGGCGGGAGCTCCGACCTGCAGCTCCTGCCTCCCAAGCAAGAGTCCTAACCCCCCGGGGGCTGTTCTGGAGAGCTCCTGCAGGTTTCCGAAGTCCCTGCTTCCCCTGCCTTTCATTATCCTACTCCTTACTCATCTGGGAACCTTAAAGACTTAAGTGTTTACCCAGTGCCCCAGAAAGAGTCTAGGCTCCCGGTCAGGGCCAGGAAACCATGGAGTGGCAAGCCCCGTGATGCTCACTTTGGAGCCGTGAGCAAACTGAGCCCCTTCAGGACTGGGACAGCCACTGCTACATCCTTCGTGCCCCGCCCCCGTGTTTTGTTTCAGTTTTATCCTTATCCTTCACGCACCTCCAGTGAAATCACCGAGGACGATCAGGAGATGGATCAGGATGGAGCAGGGATGGCCCTCGGCGGGAGAAGTGATTTGAAGGAATGAGGGAGTGGGCCAAGGAGGGACCAAAGCAGGTGGAGGGGCACGGGCGTAGGCCTTCCCTGTTTCCCCTCAACTACATGGACAAGACGCAGGCACCACAGGGCAGAGACCAGAGCTCGGCTGGTAGACACCACTGTGCACTCAGGGTACAACAGAATCCCACCTCATCCTCATCACCTCCGGCCTGTTAGCAGGAAACCCACCATCTCTTTGTTGAGATGCCTCACCCCCAAACAACCTTGTCCAGGAAGATGGGGAGGGGGGGAGTCCAAGGGCAGAGCAGTGCCCGTGTGTCTCCCGGCCCCCGCCTCCTTTCAGGTCTCTCTCTGGCTTCTCCACCCCTGTCCAGCTGTCTCCCCTGCTTCACCCCACACTTTTCCCTTCTGAATCTGACTCAGTTTCCCCTTCCATATTTCTCCTCCTGGCCTCACACCCTTCTATTTTAGTACTGGGGATTTAACCCGCGGCCTCAGCATGTGAGGCAAGTGCTCAACCACTGAGTTCTTCTATCTCCTTTAAAAAAAAAATGTACTTTTAATCAGTTTTTGAAATTTCAAAACACAAATCTATAATATAAACACTGCAAAGGCTTTCTAGCTGCATGAGTATTACAGCAATAATGCGAAGTTACCCAAAAAAGGCACGAAATAGGTGGTGACTGCTCAAGCAGAAAAGCTCATTTAAATGATTTAGAAGAAGTTATTATAACACACCATTTTCCGGGTGACCTTCAAATATTTATCTTCTCCATGTGGTACATAGACTGTAATAGAATCCCCAGACACGGTGGCGAGACTAGTGATCCACGAATCACCCGCAGATGCATTACTGCTGGTACATGAGTTTCTTTTAAAACCGAATTTAGTTCTATCCTTTATACTACTGAAAATGAAAAAAAATATTTGCGTACATATTCTGCACAAATAAGAGAGTGACAACAAGGGTGGAGGATGGGCGAGGATATGGAAAAGCACTTGTACGGATATAGAACATTTTCGGGCTGTGGTGGGAGGAGAACCCTTCCCTGGTTGTTGGAAGAGCTGCTTAAACAATGGAAGGCCAAACAAAGCCACTTACTTCCTCCTTAAAGCCATTTCTCATTGCTCAGGGAAGTTTGGAAGCCTCTTCCCCCAACTCTTTTCTCCTTTGAGTTGTTTTTCTCCTCCCCCGCCCCCAGCATACAAATACATTCACAATTAGCAAAGAAGAAAATTCCTTTATACTTTTAAAATGTTTTGAATTTGAAATGTTGTGAACTACCTAAAATAAAGGAACTGCAACCCCCCTGACCACGCTTTACCCATCCCTTTCTTATTTTTTACCTTGAGATGGGTCTGCTAAGTGGCTCAGGCTGGCCTAGAACTGGAGACCCTCCTTCTCAGCCTCAGGAGTGGCTGGAACTGCTGGGGTTGCAGGTGTGTTTGGAATTACAGGTGTGCATGCAAAAGCCCCACCTGAACTGAAGACTACTGTATTGACCTCCTGGTTCCAAACTTGCATTTATTTTGTGTCTAGTTTAAGGATGATCACCGGCACCCCTCTTCCCCCCCCCAGATCATCAAAATGATTAATTTCCACTAAAAAATGAATTATTGAGGTGAATAACACACAAAGTGCACTCTGTTGTTGTTTCTGGGTTTTTATTGTCTTGTTTTTGAGGTGCTGCAGGACAAAACCAGAGCCTCAGGCATGCAAGGCAAGAGCTCCACGCAGATCCGCCCCCAGCTCTGAGGCGCACCATTTGAAGTGCACAGTTTGGTGCCATTTTGATTCTCAACTCGCCCCTGCACTCCTGTCTCCTCACAGTGTTTCCCCTGGACCTCCCACGTGCTTGAATGAGACAGTTCTGGAACTGCATGAGATCAAAAGAAAGACCTAGGGCTGCGCATGCCCCAGTCGTCTTGCTCTCTTGGCTCCCAGCTCTCCACCTCTCCACCCTGCCCAGCTGCACTACCCTGTTTCTGTTTCACGAACTCTTAAGGTCCGCCCTCCTCCACTCGGCCCCCTTCCTCACCCCCGTGGCTCTTGGCGCCCCCTTCTGGGCCCCCTCCACGTCCATCATCCTCTCCCCCCAGCACTCTCGGCGCCCCCTTTAGGGCTCTCCTCCGCCTCCCTCTCCTCCATCTCTCACCTCTTTCCAGCTCCTCCCTCCATCCCTACTCTCCATCCCACCCGGCCCTACCTGCCCCTACCCTGGTGGCCCCCCTCACTCCATCCCCCCAGCTCCCCCTGCCCCTGGCTCCGCCCCCTCTCATAGCCCCTTTGACGCTGGCGCCTGCGCACTGGGCTCACCCTCAAGGTGGTGGTGGCGGCGGCGGCTGCAGCACGCGGTGCACGAGGCCTGGACAGGCGGGCTGGCCCCAGGCCACGCCTCCCGCGGTGAGGGAGGCCGGGGGCGGCACGAGGCAGCCTCTACCAGCACAGACTGTACCTTAGGGTGGGAAGGGCAAGGGCGGAGGGTGCCAGGGAAGCGAGAAGGGGGGCCCCTGGTTAGGGGGCCCCTGGCCTGTGGGATGGGTCAGGAGTCACCAGGCCGCAGGCTCCCTGTTCCTGAGGGGTTGGGCCAGCGCGGTGCACGTGGAGGCCTGCGGGGTGGAGAGGGCATGCATCCCACCTAGGCCTCACTGGGCAGAACGCATGGCCCCCATCCAGCCCGTGCGGCCCCCCTGCGTTCTAGAACATTGCTGTGGCCAAGGTCCCTCCCATGCAGCCCCCTGGGGAGCCACGCAGGGTCCTGGTCTGACACTCTTGGGTTAGAGCAGCATCACCCCTGAAGCCCCTAGGCCCAGCCCTTTGTGCCCTTCCAGACCGCTGGCTTCTTTCCCAATCAGGCAGTGGCACCATGGCCGCCACTGAGGTCTCAGGCCCTTCCGCGCAGTTTACCAAAATCAAAAAGCCTGATGTGCTGCTGGCTCAAGTCCCAGAGCAGGGTATGCAGGAAGAAACGGTGCGCAGATCTGGGAGCCCGCAGGGCGCCAGCGAGCTGCAGGCCGAGGGGAGCTGCAGGGCCCTGCAAGCCAAGCACCTGGAGGGAGAGCTGTCGCTGGTGCCCGCCCCAAGCGAGAAGCACATCCTGACACTGCAGACCGTGCACTTGGCTTCTGAAGACGTGGAGATGCGGGAGCTGGGCTGGCTGAGTGCACAGCCGGCAGAGGAGGTGCAGGTGGTGGTGCAGGCCGACAGCGGGCTGCCGTCGCTGCTGTGGCTCCGCGAAGAGCCCCAACAGAGTGCGCAGCAGTGCCTGGCCATCAGCGTCCAGGAAGAGCTGTTCCCACTGCAAGGGGTGGAGGTGATGCAGTTCCACCTGCTGGAGGAGAACGTGTCCGCAACCGGCGAAGAGCGCCAGTTAGCGGCCAGTGGGGCCCAAAGCACAGGATTGACCAAGGTACAATTGTTAAACCAACCCTGTGCACAAAAGATGAAAATAAAACTGTATTGTAAAACTCGGCTTTGTGCAATATTACCAACGGACAAGCTAATTTGCAGTTTAAGATTAAACACAGTAAAAAGTAATTCCCAGGAAAATCCTGGGAGACCTTTGTTTCTTTTTTTATTAGGGTTTTTAAAGTTATGCTAACTCAAATACTATAGGTGCATCGTGTTTAAAAAAAAAAAAGTTGTTTCACCGCAAAAACCGTAGTGGTAAATTATTGCAGCTGAAGCATTTTGGTGGCACTGCATAATTTTTTATTTTTCCTTTTCTTCATATATTCTATGGTTTGTCCAAGGCAGAGATTTTAGTTGGACTGTAATTAATAGTGTTGCCTTTGTTTGAATGCTCATTTTTTGTTGATCAGCTTGAAAAAGGTGAGGAAGAGGAGCAGCTGGTGGTGGAAAACCGATCAACTGAAAGCACAGAAGAGCAATTCTTTCTTGTGGAAGCAAGACCAGGAGACGAAGGAAAAGATGAAATTGTTCTGACAATTTCCAATTTAAACGTGGAAGAACAGCAAGATAAACCTGCATCTGGTCAAGCAGATGTTGAAAAAGCCAGCTCTATAAAAAATCAAAGAAAAACAAAGGGTAGGCCTTTCCATCTTGCATAAGAGACTACAAAAACCGGGCTGCTTTTTCTTTGTGGGAAGGCAGTGGTAACTGAAGTTTTAAGTGGCTGACTTTTAGTTGCTTTCAAAACATCAGGAATTGGGGAAAATTTTAAACTAATGCTCTGTATTGTGAATCAAATTCAGAAGTGTTTTGCATTTTGCACACAAGTTTTAAAAGCACAGTAAAAATGTTCTGCGAAGTATTGTCCTCATAAATAGGAGACTGAGCTCCGGACACTGCTGTGTAGTTTGCAGCCCCAGTGGAGTCTGAGAAGGGGGCCAAGTAAGACCGGGACAGGGGGGTGAGCCCTTCCCGGATTGAGGAGGAGCAAGAACGACAGGCCCTGGAGCTGAGCAGACTCCTTCAGGAGACTGTGAGGCCAGGGGGAGGGACTAAGAAGCCACATCGGTGGGGACCACGGGCTTAAGCAGCAGAAAGTGCTCTGTGCTGCCCGTCTGTCCAGCATGTATACATCACATGTGGGTGTGGACTGCTCTATGTTGGAGAGGTGCTGGGTGGGCCCCAAGAGGCAGATGCAGCCAGCCCTCAGGAGGGACTTTCAAGTTCTATAAAAGCTATATTAAATCACTGTATTTCAGTGGCCCCCCAGGGTGAATTTGACCCTCAAAATATTTTGTTTGGCTTCTTTCTTAAAAAAAAAAAAAAAAAAAAAAGAAGCTGCTCATTTACGTCAAGACTCCTTCCCAGCTCAGCTTTTCAGGGTCCTACCTGACAGCACTCAGCATTGTTCTTTTCCTGGCAACAGGTGGCCCAGTGGGAGGTGACTCGGTTAAGAAGCGTGCTGTCCAGGCACACTGCCACCACCTGTGGCCCTCACGTGTGGCCGAGGCCATTCCGTGAGGTTTCTTGCCTTGGGCTTGTGCAGGAGGTCGATTCTGCAGCCCGTAGCTTCGTGGCCCTTTCTCAGGCATGTGCTCAGGAGACGGCCTGCTGAGATTCCCAGTTGTAGGTCGTTTCAGGGTTTTAGCATATTCACAATTTTGTGCCACCTTCCCTGCTGTCTGGTTTTGTCTCTCCCAAAAGAAACCTCTGTCCACCGGTCACTTCCTGCCCTTGGCCCCTGGCAACCCCCAGGCCACTTTTTGTCCTCCTGGATTGGCCTGGGTGTGGACATTTCATGCAAGTGGGGTCACTCTCTTGTCACATGTGGCCTTCTGGTCTGTCCGTTTTGACTTAGCATCTGTTGTTGAAACTCACCTACATTGGTGAGCTTTTAATGACTAAACGGTGTTCTGTTGCTGAACACATCCCATTGTGTTCTTCCAGTCCTCCTTTGCTGGACATGGGTTGTTTCCACTTTTTCATTAGTGCAAATGGTGCTGCTTTGACCGTTCACGCCCAAGGTTTGGTTTGAACACCTGTTTTCAATTTGGAGGTGCACACTTAGGTGTGGAGGTGCTGGGCCATGCAGATGCCCTGTGCTTGACTTCTTGTGGCCCTTCCACACTTCCACAGTGGCTGCAGCCATCTACATCCCCAGCAGGGTGATGGGGCTCTAGCCTCTCCTCAGCCCCTCTAACACTTACTTCCCATGTGGCTTTTAAGTTATGGCCATCTTGTGGGTGATTGACATTTCTCCAATGACAGATGATGAGTGTTTCTCACACCTTTGTTGCCCGTGGTGTGTCTTTGGGGACTGGATTGCTCATTTCTCAGTGGGCTCCTTCTCATGTTCATTTTCCAGGGCTTTTGTAGGCAAGCACCACAAACTAGGTGGCTCAAAGCCACAGAAATGTCATGTTCCACAGTGCTGGGCTAGGAGTCAGAAATCCAGTTTTTGGGGAAACCGTGCTCCCCAGGAGGACTCTGTGGAACCATACGTTCCAGGCCTCTCAGCCTCTAGGGCTGCCAGCAGTCATGGCTGTCCTTGGCTTGTCGGTGCCACATGCCCGTCTCTGCCCCCACTGTCCCTGGAGTTCTCCAGGACCCTCCTGTCTCCTTTCCTCTTCTTGGAAGGACACCAGTCATATCAGATCAGGACCTGCCTTCGTCCAATAGGACCTCATCTTAACCTGACTCCATTTGCAAAGATGCTATTTGCAAATAAGGACAAGCTCACAAGCACCTATTTGGGGGCAGGGGGCGGTTACAGTTCAACCCGTACACCTTCTACTTCAAGCCCCTTGAGTACTTTGTCAAGAGAAGGGCGTTGGGTTCTGTGAGACTGCTGAGATGCCCGTGTGTGGTTGTCTCCTTCATCCTGTAATGTGGGTGCTATACTGAGTGATCTGTACCTTGAACGGCCCTCTGTTCCTGGGCAGGTCCCACCTGGCCTGGCGCCCCGTCCACGCCATTGCTGACTCGATGTGCTAGTGTTGTATTGGACGTTTGGTCAGAAGGGAGCTTGCTCTGCGGGTTTCTTGGGATGCCTTTGTCTGCTTTCCCGTCAGAGTGATGCTGTCCTCTTGGGATAGCTGGGATAGTTGGGGAGAGAAGTTTGAGGCTGGGTGGGGTCAATGTTCAGATAGTTGCTAGAGTTAATCAGCGCACTGGTCTTGTCCTGGGATGGTCTTTGTGGGAAGCTTGTGACCAAGTCAGTATCTCTGTCTCTCTCTCTTCTCTCTCTTTCTCCCTCTTTGCTTTGTTTCTTTTTGGCAGTGCTGGGGATTGAACCCAGGGGTGCTCTACCACTGAACTACATGCCTCCCTGGCCCTTTGTAAAAATATTTTGTTTTGAGAAAGGTTTGGCTGAGTTGCCAGAGCTGGCTTTGAACTTGTAATCCTCCTGCCTCAGGCTCAGGAATCGCTGGGATGGGGGTGTGCCCCCTGAGCCTGGCTGGACCCATCCCTTTACTGCTGTATGTCTGTGCAGATTTTCTGTTTCTCCTTGGTCAGTTCTGGCCATTTGTGTGCTCCTCAGAAGTTTCCACTTTGTCTGGGCTATCCCATTTGTCCACAGTGCTCTCATGCTCCTGTGTGCTTCTGCAGATGGCTAGTCATGACCCCTCCTCCTTCCTGACTTTAATTTGAGTGTTTCCCCCCCCCCCCTTTGTTTCGGATTTTGGTTATTGTTTTTTCGGTTTGTTTTCAAAAATTCCCCTTTTGTTTTTGTTGGTTTTTTTTTTTTTCTTTTTTATTTTTTCCCGGTTTTTTTTTTTTTTTCTTTTTCTTGGTTTTGGGTTTGGTTTCTTTTTTTTTTTTTTTTTTTTCAGGTTTTCCGTTTTTTTTCTTGTTTTTAACTTTTTTTTTTTACAGGGTCAAGTGTTCACCGCTGAAATTCTCCCTCCAGGCTCTGCTTTAGGTCCATCATGTGAGCCCTGGTCTCTTCCATTTCCCTTCTGTTTATCGCAGAGTATTTTTTGATCTTCCTGTGATTTCTTCTTTGACCCACTGGCCTTAGGAGCGTGTTGCTGAACTTCCACATATTCATGAATTCCCCTTGATAGGGGTTTCTAATTCTATTCCCTATGGTCCGAGGGCGTACTCTGTAAGATTTCTGCCTTTTAAAGAATTCATCCAGCCTTGTATTGCAGCCTGCCATTTGCTCTGCCCAGAGCCTCCGGGGGTGCTCCTGGGAGACGCAGAGCTGCTGCTGTGCCGTGTTGCGTAGCTGTCAGTCATGCCTGCTTGGCTTCGGCGCTACTGAAGTCTTCCGTTTCCTTGCTGATCTGCATCGTCTGTAGTTTAAAGGGTGGCGTCGAAGTCTCCAGCTATCTTGAGCTGTTTCTAGTTTCAGCTAAGTGCATGTGGTTTGTAACTGTCCTGTCTTTATGACGGATGACCCTTTAACCTTATGGGATGTCATTTTTGACACCAGTCAGTATTGTCTGATGTCTGTGTCACCACTCCGGGCTTCTTTTGTTGGTTTTGCCGTTGCCTTTTCCTTTTTTTTCTTTTCGGCTTTTTTTTGCTTTTGATTTTAAACCAGTTTTGTTGCGGAGGGCAGTTGTTTGGCTCTTTTTTTTTTTCTTTTTTTGCAATTTTTTGCTTTTTATTTGGGGATTTTGTTTTCTTTCTTGTTAGGGAGGGTTTTTTTTTTTCTTTTTCTTTCTTTTTTTCTTTTTGGTAGTAGGAATTTAACCCAGGGGTGCTTAACCACAAAGCCACACCTCTCCCAGCCCTTTTTATGTTTTAAATTGAGACAGAGTCTTGCTAAGTTACCTCGGGCCTCGCTAAGTTGCTGAGGCTGGCTTTGAACTTGTGATCCTTCTGCCTCAGCCTCCCGAGTCGCTAGGATTACAGGCGTGTGCCATTGTACCCAGCTCAGTTTTTTTGAACTGTCATATTTTTCCCCTCTGTTCTTCTAAGACTGCTTTCCTTCATGTGGAGTACTATTTTCTACTGTGCCTTCATTTTAATATGTTTTTGATTCATTTTCATTGATTGTCCTTGGAATTGCATTTAACATCTCAATTTATAGCAATCTAATTCAAGTTAATGCCACTTTCCTTTCAACAGTACGTTTTTAGAAACATCGCTCTTCGGTAATTTTACTTTCCACTCGTCCATATCGTTATTTTCCCAGAACAACGTTTATACATTGTGTGCCCATGAACACAGATACATGACTCTGTTTTATGCTGATCTCTTTTAGACCAACAGGGAGAAAGAGGAGTCACACAAAAGAGGATGGCATTTCTAGTGAGCCTGTGTTGTTGTGGATTCGAGGTATATCCAGTGTCCTTCTGTTCAGCCTGTGGAGTCTCCGTAGCAGTGTTTATAGGACAGACTGCCCGTTGCAGACTTGCTCAGCTTCTGTCTAGCTGGCAGGGTCTGAATGTCTCCTTCGGTGCTGAAGGATGCTCTTGCCCACTGTGGAATTGCTGGTTTCCCTTTTCAGCTCCTGACCACTGGTTCCACTGCCTTCCAGCCTCCATGGTACCAGTGGTGGTCAGCCGCTCATCTTGTCCAGCCTCCCTGTGGGCAAGAGTCTCACCTCAGGTTCTGCTTTCCAGACTGCCTCTGTCTTTCAGTTTGACTCCAGTGTCTTGATGTGGATCTCTCTGCGTTTACCCTGGGTGTGGTTCAGCAGGCTCCTCGGTGTGTAGAGTGTCTCATCACATTTGGGAAGTTTTCTGCAGTTATTTTTGCAAAAAAAACTTTTCCCCTGCCCTTGCTTCCTGGATGTCTTAGTACAATTGAGGATGTCCCACAGGTCTCTCAAGCTCTGCTTACTTTCTTCCTTTTCATTTCTATTTCCAAACAGTAATCTCACTTGCCCTCTCTTCAGATTCACTGATTCATTCTCCTTTCTGCTTGGAATTGCTATTGGGACACTTTATGTATTTTTCATTTCAGTTATTGCATTTTTACATTCTAGGATTTCTATTTTTTTTTTTGGAAGTTTAATCTTTTTATTGATATTCTCAATTTGGTGAGATACCATTTCATGGTTTCTTTCAGCTCTTTACACACCGTTTATTTAGGTATTTGAACATGCTTAAAATCATTGATTCAAAGTCTTTGGTACGTCAGGTGTCTGAACTTCCTGGGGTGCAGTTTTTTTCAGCTTTTTATCTTATGAATCATCGTATTTCCCTATTTCTGGACATACCTTGTCTTGCTTTGCTGAGAACCATGCATGCTTTCTTAAGGGGGCAACTCTGTAAATCACATTCTTTCCCTCCCCAGGGCTGTTGGTTGCTGCTCCTTGTATTTGCTGGGCTGGTAAAACGTCTCTTCTTTGCTTTGTGTGCCTGCTGCAACCCTCTGCTAATGATTGGGCAAGGATTTCCTTCAACACCTGAAACCAAAAAGTAAAATGAAATCTCTTTGGGTCTTGCTGAAGAACATGTGTGTGTGTGCTGGGCCTGGCCTTCTCAGTGTTCACCCAGGTGATTGACAGCTCTGCCTCAGCCTTCACTTCCTGCTTCCAAGAATATCAAAGTCAGCCAGGGCTGAGTGCTGAGAGCTTTTTCCAGTCAGGCATAAGCCCTGGGCATGTGTGTGGCCACCTTTTTTTTTTTTTTAAAACAAAATATTTATTTTGTTAGTTGAAGTTGGACACAAAACCTTTATTTTATTTATTTATTTGTTTTTATGGGGTGCTGAGGATGGAACCCAGGGCCTCATACATGCAAGGCAAGTGCTCTGCTGCTGAGCCACAACCCCAGGCCCGTGCATGGCCTTCTTCATTCCCAGGGACATGTTGGAGCTCTTCAAAGCCTGTGTCCCCAAAACACCTCATCCCTCTGCCTGTACCCCAGAGCTGCTTTTCCCTGCTGCCTGTTGCTCAGGAATGTTTTCAAACAATGTCCTCCTCCCACACCACCCCAGGTAGCCTCTTTTGCACTGGGTGATTCCAGATTAGGGAGGTAAAGACAAGTCTTTGGGAAGCCACTGGCCAGCTCAAATGAAACAATTGTAAATTTTGTGAATGAGGCTGGCGTTGCTCTCTCTGGTACTGGTATCATGCATTTGGACTGAAACGCCGTCAGCGGTTTGTAACTACAAGTGTGAGTCCAGGGGCACCGTGTCCCTAGCTGCTCCCGCTGGCTCCTAAACTGCTGCCTGCTCTGATGTGTTTCAGTAGCCCTGGGGCTGCTAAAGGAAGACTCTGGTGACCATGTGCTTTCTCGTGTCTCCCCACAGCAGCCAAGCGGACCTTCCGGACCTTCCGCTGCAGCGCCTGCGTGTTCACCTCCTCTAGAGTCTCGAGCTTCAATCGTCACATGAAAACCCACACCAGCGAGAAGCCCCACATGTGCCACCTTTGCCTGAAGGCGTTCCGCACTGTCACTCTGCTGCGGAACCACGTCAACACCCACACAGGTGCAGTGGCCCTGGGCTGTCCCTGGGGCAGGCCAAGGCTCATGCAGGAGGAGAAGGGGCTTTTCCTCCCCTGCTTCACTCTCTGTGGCTTCAGTGCCCTATGGTCACCTGCAGTCCAGAACTGCTAAATGGAACATTCCAGAAATAAACAGTTCATAGGTTTCAAGTAACTTTTATCCCAGTGTGTTGTTATAACTCTATTTTATTATTAGTTATTGTTGGTCTCAGCCGTCTTAGTTCATCTCTAACTTGTGCATTAAACCTTCCGTAGCTGTGTCCGAGGTGCAGTGTGCGCAGGGCTCCTACCGCCTGCCTCCTGCAGCGTCCTCCCGGGGTCGTGGGCTACGGTCCCGGGTTGTTTTGTAGTTCAGTTCTGCTGGTTCCGGTTGTTCTTGCACTTAAGTTAAAAGCACTGAACGTTACCAAGATTTCTCCCACAGGCGTCTGTGATATTTATAGCCTAAAGAGCTCCTCCTTGATTTTTGAAGCATTTTGAGTTTGAGTGTAATTTAGAAGTTATGAAATCCTGGGACATTTTGTGGTTGTTCAGGTGTGAACACTGTGATTTTGTAGGAACCAGGCCCTACAAGTGTGGGGACTGCGACATGGCCTTTGTGACCAGCGGGGAGCTCGTCCGGCACCGGCGCTACAGACACACCCACGAGAAGCCCTTCAGCTGCACCTTGTGCAAATACGCGAGCGTGGAGGTAGGTCCCCTCCCACCCACTGCCCCGGCCAACGCCAACCCCGGGGCCACTGGGAGGACCCAGCCCAAGAGAGGTTTTCCTGAAGACGGGGCTTGCTTCACATTCATGCAGGGAGTACTACGCACTCTGTTTTCTAAACAGAACACAGAGAATTGGATTTCATTCCCTCTTTGATTACTCATCAGTGAAAATAATACTTGAAGTTATACAAATCACAAATGAAATTACTGTGGTCAAGAAATAATTCTCGAATTTGCTGGAAAGGTCCACCTAATATGTCATTCTCGGTGCTACAAAATTGAAATGTATTTGCTCTAACATAAAACACAGGTCCAATCTAAAA